AGAGCGACGCCAGGGCCGACCCTGGGAACCGCGAGTCCTGTGACCGGGAGCCAGCTCCGACTCGCGGGGGCCTGTGTGCCTGTGCCCGCCCCACAGTACTTCTCACACCGGGATCTCCTCTAGGAGGTGACACCGAGTGTGCGAACCCGCGCCTGCAGGGAGGGCGTCAGTCAGCGCGCTGTCTGCACACGCCCGTCACAGGGCCGTCAAGTTAAATGCCCACGTGCACCCACAGGACCCAGTCCCGCGTGCTCGAGAGGACGGTGTGGAGCAGGGTTTCGGTGCTAAGACGCCTGTTACTGTCAGTGAGAAGAGACATCAAAAGCCCGTGCCTGGCATGGTCGCATTTTACTCCGTTTTCCTAAGAAAACTGGGCTGGGGCTGGGGGCGGGGAGAGAAGGAAGCCCCTCCTCACACCTGGGGACCCAGGTCCCTAGGAAGGGGGAGGGGCCTCGCTGAGAGGCTTCCTCCCCCTCAGTGTCTGCAGCCTCTCCCACAGGCGCCTGCTCTACAAGGGAAGGGGCGGCCGTGCTGCTCCCACCGGGTGGTGTGTGCACGTGTGTGCGTGTGTGCACGTGTGTGCACGTGTGTGCATGTATGGAATCTCTGTGTGTGTGTGTGTGTGCAGGTATATGTGTGTGTGTAGCAGAATGAGGGACAGGCCACCACACAGCAATTCCCATCACAAAGGGTAAGTCACTCCCAGGCGACCTCAGATCCTCTGTGAAATCAGTGCTGGGGGAGGGAAAGGGACCCCACGCCTGCCAGTGCCCCCCAGCCATCCAGAGCCCGTGAAGGGGACCAGCTCCCCTGACCCGATGGGCTGTGCTATCCCAGGTCCCCTGGGGTGAGAGCTCTCAGTGGGGAGCAGGGGCCGGAAGTGCCATGACCCCCGTGTCTGGCCCGAGGCTCGCTTACGTCGTCCAGGTCCTCCTCGGGGGTGGCCGGGGCCCTGTCCGTCCTGTCTGTGTTGCAGGACGTCTCCGACAAGGTTTCCGAGTCCACAGACTCCTCATCAAATCCAAAAAATGTCTCCACAACATGCTTCTGTGAAGGCAACGTGGACATGTTAGGGACAAACTCAGAGCCGCCAGGTCCCCAGCTACGGCACCGTCTGGGCCGCAGGACACCCTGGGGTGGGGTTGGGGGGCTCACAATGGGCTGGTGGGAAAAAAGGTGGGAGGGTGTGGGGGGGCTGCAGCAGGCCGGACCCTGGCTCTGGGCAGGAGTTATTGGCCTTATGCCCCTCAAAGGGACATGGAACCCTGCCTTCATCTGTGAGCACAAAGGGAAGTTACACGTGGCTGTGCCCACGTGCTGACACGCAACGAGCAGCACGCATGTACTGAGGAGCGGAGCGGGCCAGGGAAGCGGCCGAGTTCTAGACACCACACACAGGGAAAAGCTAAAGGGGCATGGACGGGGCCCTGAGCACCTGCGTGAGCATGTGGCCCAGGGCCTCACCAGACCTGTGCTAAGAGGCAATGTTTCTTTAACTTTTTATTATAGGAAACTTAGAGCATTTACAAAATTAGAAGGAAGAGTGAATGGACCCTCATGCACCCATCACTCAGGGTCAGAGGCGTTTTTAACGCCAGTCACTGTGTAGCGACCTCCCGCTTACCCCACCCAGCACTTCTCCCACTCCATTCATTCATTCACATACGCACTCACTCACTCACACATTCATTCATTCATTCATTCATTCAGCAAGCACCTGACGGAGCACCTTCTGTGGGTCAGACACTGGCTGGATGGGGCCTGGGGACTGCAGACATCAGACACAGTCTCCAGATCATCTTGTTTTAGAAACATGGGCTTTTCCCCAAAACAATCCCTGGGAAGGATTTTTATTTGATTTTATAATCAACTAGAGGCCCGGTGCACAAAAATTCATGCACTGGGGGGGGGTGCCTCAGCCCAGCCTGCACCCTCTCACAGCTCTCACAGTCCGGGAGCCCTCAGGGCATGACCTACTGATGGCTTAGGCCTGCTCCCTCTGCATGAGGCAACTGAGGAAGGCGCCGCCCCCATCACCCCCCGCTGCTGCTGCCACTGCTGGCCGCTGCGGCCGCCTTGCCCTCAGCCCTCTCAGCTGTGGCGGCTTTGTCCGGAAGGACATCCGATCTATCCAGTCTAATTAGCATATTGCCTTTTATTAGTATAGATGGCTGCTTCTCATGACCATGAAGAAAGAACCATGACTAACTCCAGAGCCAAGCCCCGGCTCCCACTGGTGTGTCCAGACCTGGCTTCTCCCAGACCCCCTGCCCCCGCATCCTCAACCAGGGGTGGGGTCGGGGTGCACCCACATGCTAAGGCACCTCCCACTTGTCTGCAACCTATGCTCCCAAATGTACGAAAAGCGGGGCTGGACCCGTGCCCGACAGTGTGATTAAGGAGCAACTCCCACACCAGCAGGGGGAGGAGAAGAGGGGGACCCCTTGTCATCAGCAGTTAGTTTCTGAAGAGGCGTTGCTGGAAGCAGCTGACCACCGCACGGCACCCCAACATCCTTGCACTTGGCACCTGTCTTCCAGCTGCCACTTCCACCTTGCACCCCATTTTTGTTTTGTTTTTAATACATGTGGGGCAGGTACCGGAACTCCTGACAGCTCAGCCGTCTCCCCAGAAGCTCACGGGCCCAGTGGACAGTGACGCACCCCCAGAGCCTGCCGCTCCCATGTCTAGCGTGTGCTCCTCACGGAGCTCCGCCCTTTTAGTTGCTCAGGCCAAACCCCTAGGCGCCCTCGACGCTCCTCGCCCTCCCCTCTGGAGAAGTCCTGTGGGCTCCACCTCATCCCCAAGCCAAGCCTGAGCCCCGGCCCTCCCTCCTGGTCCAAGCCACGGGCCTCCCACTGGCCTCCCTGCCCCTCCCTTGTCTGCACCCTGGCGGCCCCTCAGAGCCGAGTAAAACCGCTCCAGCCTCACCCCTCACCCTCCTCTCTTTTGGTTAATCCTCACCCCAGGATATCTTTTCCATTGCTTTCAGAGTGAGTGTAAAGGAGGGAGGTGGGGGGAGAGGGGGGAGAGAAACATTGATGTGAGAGAGACACATCCATCGGTTGCCTCCTGCATGTGCCCCAACCAAGGACAGGGAGGGAACCCATAACCCAGGCACATGCCCTTGACCAGGAATCGCGCCCGCAACCCCTGTGTGCGAACTGGTGCTCTAACCACTGGAAGACACCAGCCAGGCCTCACCCTCCTCGACCACTGTGCTCCAGCCACACCGCCAAGCATGCCTGAGCCTCCCACGTGCCTGGCGCAGGGCCTGTGCACTGCCCAGACGCACTTCTCCAGGACCCACCAGGTTCTCCGCCCTGACCACACCACAGTCCTTCCAGCCCCTTCCCACCGCGGTCTCACCTTCCTTCTCCTCCCCCTCTCATCGCCACCTGACAGGTCTCTTTTGCTTTATGTCTGTCACCTGTCCGCCCCGCTGGGCTGTGAGCGCCCCCCCCCACCCCCCGGGGACAGGGATTTGGCTCCACGAGGGCAGGGTCTGAGCTCTCCTGCTCCCCGCTGTGCCGGGGCCTGGCACACTCAAGAAACGCTGCCTGGGAAACGAGTATTCACAGCACGTCTCTGTGAATGAACTCCAAGCTGAGCTAACGTGTTTACCCACCAAGCGCTTCAGGTTCGCACGGGGCACCCTCCCTTCAGTCTGCAGCCACGTCAGCGGGCAGCCGCCTGACCATGCGCCCAGGTGAGCCTAAGGGGCAGGAGGTGAGGCCTAATGGGCTCCATCGATTTCCAACGTTTCTACTCTCCAAGTTCAGGGTGGAGACAGCCATGTACCCAGTCCCCTCCGGACAGAAACCCCGCCTGGTTCAGGGTCACCAGCTCAGCCGACTGTCGCCAGGGAGCCGCGGCCAGGCCCCCGATGGTGACAGCAGCACCCTCGGGAGGGAGCATCTCACCCCCACACGCAGTCCCCCACCCCCGGCCTGGGCTCCAGCTCCCGTTCTCCTGGGCGCCACTCTGCCGACCTTGTTGCTTGTAAACACTGCTAATTGCCAGGCCTCTGGGGCAGGCCTGTGTTTGTGATGTGCCCATAGACAGCGTGGGGCACGCAGGGAGGGCCCTGCCTGGCACAGCGGTGCAGCCCCAGGAACCGTCAAGCCACACACTCACCAAGGATCAGGACAGGATGGGGTGCGACGCTGGGACCCCCCAGTCAGCGGCCTAGACCGTTCTGGGGGTCATGACGCAGCGGGCCACCCCCAGACTGATCCAATTTCTGAAACCCTGCGGGGCTGCTGGCTAGACGCTCAGTCACGGAGCCCCGTCAGGGCCTCAGCTGCAGACACTGCAGGTGGCCTTCCAGCGGGGCCGCCCCTAGCAGCCAGGCTGCCCAGGCCCAGTGGAGCCCCTTAGGTATAACCTGGCCCCAGAGACCCAGACCCGCCCGAGGCGGCAGCTGCTGGGAGAGAAAGGGGGAAGGGGCTCTGAGGGCGGAGACCAAACACAAAAGGGCACTTGGGTCACAGTCCCCTAACAAAGGCTGTGGAGCCACCAACACGGCACACGGCACACGCAGGGCTGAGCTGACTGTGACCACCCCTATAGCACGTGCCCCGGGTTAGTTCCTCTAGGGCCGTGGTCGGCAAACTGCGGCTCTCGAGCCACATGCGGCTCTTTGGCCCCTTGAGTGTGGCTCTTCCTAAGCCTTAGGAGTACCCTAATTAAGTTAATAACAATGTACCTGGCATTGCAGCAGTGAAATGCATGCGGTCTATCCGTCGGTGGTCCTACGAGATGTTTCGAAATGAACGTGCAATCCGATTTGTTGTCATGGTCACACCTGAAGACCTTAAAGCCAATGCAGGTGAGTTATTTGCATTAAGAAAGCATCACTCTAGAGCAGCCGTGGGCAAGGATCCGGCCCTTTTGAAATGAATAAAACTAAAAAAAAAAAGACCGTACCCTTTTTTGTAATGATGTTTACTTTGAATTTATATTAGTTCACACAAACACTCCATCCATGCTTTTGTTCCGGCCCTCCGGTACAGTTTAAGAACCCATTGTGGCCCTCGAGTCAAAAAGTTTGCCCACCCCTGGTCTAGGGTGAGCTTTTGTAAGTGACTGTCTTACATGGAAGCCAAAACGTAGCACAGAAATGTATGCCTCTATTCATAAGAAACAGCTGGAAAAGGACCTTTTCCTGCCCAGAGTGAGGGACTGGTCCTGTCTACTGTGGAGACTGCAACTCCTGCCTTTCCCTGCACCTTCACCGTCCATGTGAGCCGCCGGGAGCCCCGGAAACACCGGGCCTCAGTGCTTGCGCAACGGGCTTTAAACACAGTCAGTCTCCATCCTCCTCACACCCCCGGGCGTCCCCGGGAAGATACTGCAGGGGCGTCGAGTCCTATCTGCTCGCTCCCCACTCCTTCTCCCCGCAGGGGCTCACGCCTCCAGGCTGCCATGTCTTGCCCTGCTGACTCCTTTTACAAAAGAGCTGAACTTTGGGGGGAAAATGACTGAAAGATGGAAAGGACCCCAGTTACACTCTGATATCCAGAGGTGCCCGCTCTTAGCCGGTCACACGGCACCGAGGGGGGGAAGAGGGAGCCCCGAGTAACCAGCCCTCCACCACTCCAGCCCCCCTCAGCCTCCCCTCCAAGGCCCCTGCCCAGGAGGGGGCGTCCAGCCGCAGGGACGGACCCCCCCCCGACGCCGGTGCCTACCTTCATGCCGGTAGGTCATCTCCTGGCAGCCGGAGAAGTACAGGCAGACCAGGGCGCAGAGGCAGAGGAAGAAGGAGAAGTAAAGCACGAACAGCACGTACTCCATGGCGCGCCCAGCCCCGCTGCCCCGTGCCCAGGCCTCTGGGTCCCAGGGCGCTCCCGTTCCTCTGCCTCGCGGCCCCGGCGAGTCCTGAGGACCAGCACTGCAGGGACAGGATGCCAGCTCCGGGGCAGATGGAGCCGAGGAGCCGGTTTCCAAGGCCTGGGCGGCACGTGAGTCACACAGCACAGCTTTCCCGGTGAATTCCCTGGGGCTCTCCTCCCACACCCCAGGCTCCCTGTAGCCCAGGCCATCACAGGCCTGGTCCCTGGATGATCCCAGGGGGCCCAGGCTCAGCCCTAGCAACGGTGACACGGAGAGCGCCTCCTGCAGACCCGCCCAGGCCCAGCAGGTGCTTCGCCTCAGATGCTCGGGAAGGGGTGTGTGATAAACATTGACACCAACGGTGAAAATCCTTGGGTTTTACACAAAGTGCGGTGGGTGCTGTGGGTGAAACTGGGCCCCCAGAGAAGGTGTGTCCAAGTCCTAACCCCTGAGCGACGATTCTCTCTCATCACTGATGTTTCTATCGCTCTCTCCTCTCTTCCTCTCTCTGAAGTCAATAAAAACATATTTAAAGAAAGAAAGTCCGAAGCCAGGAGGCGAGCAGGCCCAATTTTCGTGGAGGTGAAAATACATTTACAGGTTTAAGCGCAAACTGAGTCTTCCTTCTCCCCCCGCCCCAATGTGCTTGCTCCAGGCCAGCTCGGTCCTGGCTGCTCCGTGTTCCAAGCCCCATTCTGCTCCCTCCGCCCGAATATTCAGACGCTCGCTCTATAAGCCCACACCCTCCGAAAGGAACGCCGCTCTGCCTCGTCCCAAAGCCCATAGCTCCTGACTCCTCAGAACGGCTGTGAGATGGCACCAAGCCTGAGTGCCCTTTAAACCCTTCGAAAGGGTCCTTACGTTTTTAATTTGGGGTGAGCAGCCCCCGAGGCCTAAACAGCGAACTCATCCGCGAGTTTCCCATGAAAAGTCACACTAAGCGTGTCCATGGCGGTCAGTCACGTGTCACTGAGCCGGCGGGAACCGTCCAACATGCAGGAGGTGAGTGTCCCCTCTCCCTGGACGCTGCCCCGCAGACCAGGGGCAGCTGTGCCACCACGGGCTCACCTTGGGCAGCTTCAGGCCTTTCCCGCGGTGCCTCTTGGGGCGCAAGAGCCGTTCTCTCTCCTGGAAGGAAACACAGCTGTTGGCACGTTCAGCCTCACGTCACACCCACCAAGCGACCTGGCTCTCTGGGGTCGGGACCTGCAGCGCCGCCCCGCCCCGCCCCGCCCGCA